TTAAATTCAATTTTGCCAACAAGTGTGGGCGAACCTCAAATGACATATTAATTACAACTAACACTTTTGCAGCACTCGCAATTTTGTCCATTGAATTCTTGCCACGCCCAATTCTTTGCCCCGCCCATTCGCGAGATATTCTAAGCATAGCCTAATTTATTCATCAGCGTCGAATAGGGTAAGCTCGAAAATTAGGCACACATTTAAGCTTGTTGTTGAATTTAATCCTTCGATTCACACGAATTGCTCCAAGGAGCTCCCTTCAAAACACCGCGTTCTTTTGTGGCGTATGTAAATATATTTTCCCTCAGCAAAAAATCACTCGAGTAGCAACGATTAAGCTCATGAAAGCGATGTAGTTCCTCTCTGCGCGGTATCAATTTGCAGCTCACAAGTATTTTCCGAGGGATGATGTGAATGTGATCAGCAGGGGTGGCAGAATGTATGTAATTCGAATTGCTGTGAAGGGGGGAAGATTGAAATTGATAAAATTCAGTGTGGCACAAATTGAAAATAGAGACTATTTCGTGAATTTCTGCGCCAAAGTGAGAATTGATGGCGGCATATTGGATTTTGTGTTCGATAAATTGTGGGTGATTTTAGTTGGGGTGTTAATAAGTTAGAATAGACGATAATCCCATTTGCCATATTATATTTTAATGAATACACACGGACTGCATAATGTGAAATACGGATTGAATCCCGCTGTGGAATATCGATATCCGTTCTGAGCCACATGAGCTTTCGGCCGAGCTTTTGGCTGTGGCGCGGTTGGGAATCTTTTCTTCGATGCGGATTCCCGGAACACGCACAATCAATTGTATCTCAAATACAGATATAGAAATGTTGCCTTGCGAAAAATCTGGGTTGCTCCTTTGGATTCCCTCCCTCTGAGCCGCTCCAGTCGTTGTTGATTCATTCCTTGTATCTGTGGGTGGCTTCGGCTGGTGTATTCAAAAGTGCTGACAAATCCTCAGGCCGCCGGAAAAAAGCCCCGGCGGTGTGGGAATCTGGAAGTGCGATCGGAAAGCGAACACCCACAAATGTGGGATACTTTCTCCCCAACTTTCCTCGGGATCCCTTGAGCTCTTCTCCCGCCTCGCAACAATCGATTGTTCCCAAAATCTCTCACACCCACTCTAAAGTTCACCTTTCGCAGTGGATTTTCTTGCTGGCGCATCGTGAATTTCCCACACCGAAAACCCATATAATCGAACCACGCCGTGGCACAAAAGACATTAAATCTCGGGAAATAATTGTTGCGTGACTCTCAGGCCGGCGAAACAGTTGGGGAACTTTTCGATTTGTGCGGTTGAAATTTTGTTCAAGTTCTGCGACTTTTTCTTCTCTCCTGATCCACCCTTGGCAAGACAAATGAAATCCAAAAACGGCAGTGACAAAGAATGCTGGAGGAGGGAAAAGAGTATAAAGCCTGGTGCGGGACACGCTTCACTAAATTGCCGATTAATGGATGAGGATAAGAGAGAATGACTTGGGAAAACACTATTAGAAGTCAATAAATACTTCTCACGCGGTAGAAGAGTTTCGACGAATTGCAAATTTGAACCTGAGAGGCAAAGTTTGCCACTTAGGGAAGCTTTTCTGTATATGTTAGCACAGATATGCGGAAAGCTCCGATGTGGATTGGAATTTGCGATTGATCGGCAAAGAATTAATTACAATTTTACTAAATAACTCAATACTTTGGGTCTTTGGATACAAAGGAAAGATTGTGTAAAAGTTTGGAACTTGCAATGAGCATAAATTGTAACTGAAATTCCGGCGATGACAGACGGAATGAGTGTGAAATGACCAAATTATGCAATAGTTTTCCTATCCAACATTCCTGATGTTTGCTTACTGTGTCAGAAACCATATCATCCTCCAAGTTATTCATATAAGTAGAATTTGTAGAGTTGCACACAGTGGAGGTATTCATACTTGGCAACTTCAACAAAACCACAACACAAAGTTTAAATGTATATTTGCATGTACACCTCTATCAGCATTTTCCTGCGATGAATCTGTGCAATTTCACATGGATTTGGACTCTGTTTATCAGAGATCCATTATGTTTTTGGCTCTAATTCCCCTCATTTGTGTCCTATGCATAATTAAGCTCAGATATGGGTTAGGTAAATAAAAGGGGGACCCATAGAAAAACTTGTGGCACTTTCTGCCTTTGTTTACACTCTCGCACACCCTCAGCTATCGAGAATAGGTATAATCACGTTGCGAGAAGGGGTAAGCATATTAGGCTGTTAAAGTATTAAATTATTATAATGATCCGTCTCGAGGAGGGGGCGGATGTGATGTTAGCCGGCGGTTGGGGGCATGATTGAATTGAGAAATATACACCAACTCCATACGAAGCTTATTAAAAGTTGGTAGATTGGAGGTGTAACTATTTTCCAATTGTACTCCATCGCTCAGCACAATCTTACCTCATCGCCTCTGGCACTTTCTCTCCCACTTAGCACGAGGGTCGGGGTGAGTGCTTGAAGGTGGAACCGGTGGTGTAATTCGTGCGGTAGTCGTCACTTGGTTAAATAAGCTTCTCGGGTGGTGCCCACCCACAATTTCCGACAGTTGCTGAAACACTCATCGCTCCACAATTGCAATTTTCTTTCACATTTCACCTCTATCAATGGGGGGCGTTTATACACTCTTTTTGCGCCCCACTTTCCTCTTTTTTTCCCACCATTCACTACACAATATCTCATTTTGCTTTCTCTCCCACTTCTTTCATGCTCAAACACAATCCCCACTGACACAACATTTCTGTAATCGTTCTAAAACACGTGTTTTCCACCCCCCAAAAGCCCCACACGGGGGAGACTGCCACCCTTCACTCACTTTGCGAAAGCGCACACGTTGAAAGACCCCTGATTTACGCCAAATGCTCCACCGCCAAGCAGACGTGCAGTTGAGACTGTTTGTGCCTAATGCCGTGGCTTCAGACAATTTCGCAGCCACTTCAAATAGCACAGTGCAAACCGCAGGTGAAATCCCTTAATCGTCGATTTCGAGCGGAGCCTCGTGAATTCAATTCACCGTGACTCGTGCGGATCTCGCAGAATGCTCTCATAAGAGCACATGAGCACATGGGGAGCAGGAGGAGATGAGGCGTCTCGAAATTGCCCCCCTTCGCCTTTTGGTCTGGCCAAAAACTTTTTTCATTACACGCCGTCGAGAGAGTTGCATTGTGGAAATTATTCGCACATGTAATCTCACGGCCAACTTTCGCCCGTGTGTATGGCCAAAAACACCCGCCCGAGCATTGTCCAGACGATGGTTGTAGCGAAGGAACTTCCGCATTGCGGAGCACTCTGTCGTGATTCTCCTTATCAGTCTCATGCAAGACATGGTGAATTCATGCTCACTGTTCAATGCGAATATTTTCCATGCCTGTTTTGTCCGGGGGCGAGCAATTTACTCTGTTCACTGCACTGCTGAGGATTTATGGACAAAAGGGTGGAGCGCTCGCTTGAGAAAAGCAGACCTTCGCAGCCATTTCCACTTTGCTCAGCACACCGGAGAAATGTTTGAGGAAAAAGCTTTGACTGCACGCTGAAGACGGAAGAAAGCGCTTTTCGGAATAAATATATTGTGCTTTCTTGTAGTGCACATCGTGAAGACATGATTTTGCAACTTGACTGGATTTTATAATAAATTAGAAGTATTTACAAAGTAACAGAGGAAATAGAAAAAGGCCTTTTATGTAAAGAGCAAAAAGGGATATCTTTTACATGATTTTCAATCCATTTTGGTGTATTCTTGTCAATTGGAGCTTCAGGTTAAGTGATTTGAATTCATAGAACACATCCAATATCTCGATTATCCTTGTGATTATCAATCATGCAAATCTCTGCCTTCCAGTCAGGTTGATAAGCTGCAATATCCGCTTCTACATGGACTTGAATTGAGCCTTCGTATGGGCAACTTTGCGTATAATCGTTAATCAGTCATCAGATAATGATTGTGAACATCCTCGGGGCAGATTTGAGAGTGAAATTGAGTGAATGGAGAGCCTTGCATTCTCGTCAGGTCCTGGCAAGTGCTCTTGGTGGTAAATCAATCAATTGACGAGTGCGGGAAATGCGATAGCAATGGTAACAAATGGTGAAATATTGCTGCACAGCGACTGAATTCAATTTCCACGCAGTTGGTCAACGCTGACGTCGTCTGATTTATATGGACAACCTTGTAGTGTGTTTTATCAACTTCCCTTCGTCGAAGGTGAGCGCTCACGTGGTGCGAAAAATCCGCTGAAAATATATTTTCCACTCCACATCTGCGAAAAAGGGTGGCACACACTCACTTTTGTCACACTGACACGCTAGCAATGGTGAAATATTTATGCGTCATGTTTGCTCAATTAATGAAATCGTTTACGCTAACTTTGTGCTCCTTATTGTGGCGTGACAGAGGCAATTGCGTGCTCTGTCTGGCACATGTGCCGCCGGGCTTGAGCCGCCAGGAATGATGCTATTTTGGGAAATGGGCCGATTTGGCGTGGGCCGAGTGAAATGTTTTGACAATTTCCAACCTCTGACCATGTGTGCGTGTCTCAGCATCAGGCTTGTCTAAGCCGAAGCCACAAACTCCCCGCGCTCCCCCTGCCAAAGTGTGCATGGGAGAGGAACTTCAGGGGCTGCTGAAGTTATGAGATCTGCATTCTGGGACTCACGCTCCTTTGCTGAGCCTCACGGAGGGGTGCGACTTTCCAGCGCCCCGCTGGAAGGGCGGCCGTGCGCAGGATCCGTCCAGCGTGGCGTGGAGAGGCTGGCCCGCGAGCAGAGTGAGCCAGCGTCGTCAGTCGTGCCGCATTTCCCGGTGGAGCAGCAGAGCTTCGCCTCCGCGCCTGTGACAGTGAGTGAGCGTGATGGTGAGTGACCCGCGCCCGCGGTAGGCGTCATGCGACGCATCGCGGCCCTGCTGGCCGTCCTGGCGCTCGCGGCCGCCGAGGCCTCGCTGATGGGCTTCGAGGAGAGCGTGTGGGAGCAGCCGCCGTACTTCGACGACGCCACCGTGCGCGAGGTGACCGCGGCGGCCGGCTACCCGGCCATGCTGCGCTGCCGCGTGCGCAACATCGGCGACCGCGCCGTGTCGTGGATCCGCCGCCGCGACCTGCACATCCTGGCCATCGGCATCATGACCTACACCAACGACCCGCGCTTCCAGGCCGAGCACTCCGAGGGCTCCGACGACTGGACGCTGCGGATCCGCGCCGCGCGCCCCGCCGACTCCGGCGTCTACGAGTGCCAGATCTCCATCGACCCCAAGATCAGCCTCGGCATCCACCTCAACGTCGTGGGTGCGTGTTTGATTGTATCTCTGAGCCTTCCTGTTGGCAAATACTGCTTAAGTATACTTAAAAAGTGACCTTTTAATGGGTGCGTTTTTATGATAAGAGGACTACCTTTGTTAAGCTTATTATACGGCCCTTTACATTATAGCTTGGGCATTTATCAGAGAATTTGGGTCAGCAATTCTACACGCGTACACAAACTTTTCAGTTCGAATGCCACAGGTATACATAATACACGGTGTTTCCTAATTCTAGCGCCCAGAATAAAAGTACGTTCACATCCATCGATTGATTCGCCTACTGCTCTTTTGTACTCAATATTTCAGGAACAAAATTAGTAGGGCTTTACATTCCAGGTATTCATAGTAACTTTTTCAAACGGAACAACATTTTTTTCAAAGCTAGAAAATAGCGCAAATACATATGAAAGGGTTATGATTTTGATCTCTTAGAACTCCAGAATTAAGTCTAGAAGATTGTCCTTGTTTTCGCGATTTTAGTTAATTTATTCACTTATCATTCACTGTTAAATTGATATTATGAGAAATTATCAAGAGTTCTGATCAATGTTTATGTTAGAAGGGTCAAAGGCCAGTCGAGGAGCATCAGTACATGCAATTGTCCTTCACATTCCTCTTGCAGCGAGTCAGGCGCGCATTCTGGGCAGCCGCGAAGTGTTCGTGCGCGGCGGCAGCGACGTGAACCTCACGTGCGTGGTGGAGGCTGCGCCAGCGCCCATCGAGCTGCACTGGGCCAGAAACGGCCGGCCGCTGGACTTCTCGCGGCGCGGCGGCGTCAGCGTCCTCACGGAGCGGCGCGTCCGCACGAGTCAGCTGCTCATGAGCCGCGTCTCGTCGCGCGACGCCGGCAACTACAGCTGCTTCCCGTTGGGCAACAGCGCCACGGACGCGGCCAGCGTGCTCGTGCACGTGATTAAGGACGAGAACAGTGCCGCCATGCAGCACGAGTCGTCGGCCAACTCGTCACACCTCAGCCCGATTCCTGTGGGACTGGCCGTTGGGGTGTGCTCCGTTCTGAGACTGCTGATGAGGTGATAATTGTAAAATAATGAATTACGGGTGAGTTTGTCGGTGAGAGAAAGTTTCTCTAATCTCACAAATTGAAAAAGTTTGCAAGTTCGCGTAGTGCGAAGATTCTCCCTCACCTTCGGAAAGGGCGTGATCACGTCACGTTCAGCAGTGACCATCGGTGTTACCCTTTGCTGGCTTTGTAAATTCACTACAATGGCAACTTTCTCACCCATTGTAATCTGATTTCATTGATTAGCTGGAGTCTGAGAGTCAGATAATGTATTATAGTGAATTGTGTATAAAATTGTTTGATCCCCATGTAAGAGAAATACAAGGATATACCAACATAAAACCGTCTTTCTCGAGCAACTTCATTGCCTTTCCACTTGTCTTCTGTGGCAACTTTCGCTCCGTTTGGCATCCGGATACTCTTCTTCAACCACTCATTTATGTACTTGTTTAATTTTCACAACACTCTCACAGTGCCGAAAAAAACAACACTCAGAGAGCTTGAATTACTTGTGGGACTTTGTCTCGAGTTGGAGGAAGTTTGTGTGTATGTGTCATTTCTCATGAAAGTGAGAGAAATACGAGTGATTTTCTCCATGGAGACACACAAGTTGCATTCCGAGTCGCGGAGGGAAACTTTTTAAATTTATACAATGGCTGCGGATCGCAAGTTCGCCATCCAGAAGACGCCCCGCTAGTCTCAAGTTCAGGACGACCACCAGTGCCGACACTTTGAGCCAAGCGGAGCAGGAAAATTAAAATGAAATTTATGGAGATGACACTGAAGAATGAAAGGATTTTCGTGTCGCCCTGGAGCGAACACAAAATTTTATTTAGCCAGAAATACCGCGACCCTGGAACACGCTGACTTCTCGCGCGATGTCCTCGAATTCCGGGAGCAGACGCTCTCTGTCGGATATGAGGGCATTTATATACCGGATGCCGTCTATAAAAGTCAATTAATTACACACAGTGCTCAAGAGCATGATCATCAAGGAGTCACTCAAGACACAGTTTGGTTGGGATTTTAGAGGCAGATCCGCAACCATGAGAGCACACTCAGACTCAGCTTCAGATGGGAAATTAAATTAATAAGTTTCTCACTTACACTTCAGCACTCTCACTACATTTACTATAACATTACACCACACTGAACTCCCACCGTTGTGTTATCATTGCCAACCATAAAATACAGAGTAAATATTTTAATACTTCCACTCGAGGAATCCCTCAGTAAAACCCTGGCAGAATCTCTTAAGCATGTCCGCAAAACTCACAAAGCCAAGAAGAATGACATGGTCCAGGATATTGAGAAAAGTTAAGGGTTTTCCGCTCCACTAACAGAGGAATAAATTACACTTTGATCAAGAATGCAAATGCATTTCGCCGCCCTGCAAACACTCAGAGGATATCGTTCATTTGAATTTCAACGACAGAGCCAGAAAACTTACACCCAGCGCTTCACTTCCTGGAAGTCTGAGGCGTGAGGAATATTAAATTATGAACGTGATCTCATTAGACTCTGGATGCTTTCTCGGCTCTTGAGCGTGCGAGTGAAAAGGTGAGAGGCCAAGTTTACTGATGCTGGATTCTTCCTAAATCATAAACTATTGTTGTGGGTGGCCAACGTGTGCGGAAGGAGAGAAGAGGGGAAAAGTTAACTCTGATTCACGCATTTGTGAGTTTAAAGCTTTCACGAGTGCCGAAGGAAATTTAACCTGCAAACTAAGTGAGAAATTGAGTTTAATTGATATAATTTTGGTACTTTTCAAACCGTTTTAGAGAAATTGAAGTCCTTTTCTGTGCTGTTAACACCTTCAAAATCACTCAAAAGTCAGGCTTTTCTAGCCCAAGAAGCGCCATATTGAGAATCTCAAACTTTGATGACTTAAAGCAATCTTTTCTTAGGGTTTTTTTTTTCTTTCACCTCTCGAGCACACAATCTCGCCACAATGGCTGTGATTCTCTTTATTATTATAAATCACATCACAGCCCATCTCATTTGCTATGCAAGCTGCGAAGAGTTCCGCTTGATCGAAAGCTCACCAGGCGCCTCCACTGACGCACAGCATATTTTTGCGGGCGCTGAAAGGAAGCTCGAGAGACTTTACAGCGCTCGTAACAATTTGCCACCCTCAGCTCCAAATGGTTCATCATGATGAGGAGATAACGATATTGTATACTCGTGTTCACCATCGCAGCGCGGCTGCAGGTCGTTTTCGACAGCATAGACAAGAGACGCGCTGAGTGCAGGGAAAGAGGCTTAGCAGCGAAATACACATTATTTTCATAACTTTTCGAATTAAGCACGGAGTAAATTGTCGAAAGTGGAATGTTGTTATCGCAGGAAAACAGAAAAACTTTATTCATTTTCCTAGTGTCTGGGGTAAGAAATAATAAAGTGAAATTAATGGAGACAACTGGCCACAAGGCGTTGTGGCGATGTAAGAAAATCCACTTGGGCAAATTGACGCTTTATGCTTCTATTATCAATTTGAGACCATTTCAATTATGATGATTAAGTTTGGGCATTTGATACACTATGCGGATCGTCTTCTGGCCCCGTCAGACTCTATTCAATTTCCACAGAGAGGAAAGTTTCACGCTGTGCTGAGGGAAAAAGTTTCCACAAATGCTCGACAGGGTTTGGCGCGCGGGGGTGGCAAGAGCCAAAGCCACACAGTGCAATCGCTCCCACATCAGATCACTCTCATATTTTGTAATTCAAGTCAGGAACAATTTCTTCTGCTTAGCACACGCTGTATATGTGTCGCTCTTGCATGAGACAAAAGCTATGCGAATGGAGTTGAAAAGTTAGCGCTGAAGGAAAATAGACGAAAAAGCAATCGTGTTGCTGAGCATCTCTGGTGGGGTGGGATAGTCATTCTTGAACTATGCTCCACGCTCGGTTGAGCTGCAAGACAGAGGAGTGTATATGCTAATATTACGACGCTATTTCGGAATACTATAAATGGGATTTTTCACGAGACATGACATTATTTGACTGTGAAAATATCTCTTACTTTCCATCTCAGACCATAGAAGCTGAATAGAAAAATCGTGGTGTGAAATATTGACACTTGGAAGAGCTTTTAGCTTTTCCAAAAAATACTCAAGCTCAAACTGTTTCAGCTCAATTGTGATTTAATGTGCGTCAGTTGCACGCAAATATATCGATTGCTGCACAGGATGTAATAAAAATTCTGACCTGAAGGCATCATACAAATTACCAGAGCTCATTTTCATTATCGGCCCCGGCATAATTGCATCGATTTATTGACCAACAAGAGGACATTCTTAATGCCTTTGTGTACAATATTTTATTCGGGAAATATATTCAAGTCATTAAAGCAAATTTTGGGGTTTTTTTTTGCCACGGCGATTCAGACATAACTCACACATTCGCACGAAATGCAAATATTGTGGAATCGAGGATGCAATTGAGCAATATGTTCAATGCAATTTATGGATGGACATTATTTAAGGTGCTCCCAGACTCGAATAATTGCAATGCACTGCATTGTCCTCAGAATTAATCAGAAGACCACATTTGCATTGTGGTGTCCAATTAATGGGGAATTCATCTCCCACGTGGCTAATCGGATGCTGAGGGAATTAGCAGAGAATACAGGAGAATTGATTTGCTGAGAATGAAGGTGGATTCGATATTCCTCCAGGGTGTCATTGTGGAGAACATCCCAATTGCCTATTGTAGCACTGGGAAAGTATAGATGGGAAAATTGCCACTTTAAAGCACAGCCAGCACTCATTCATTTGACTATCCATTGTCTGACGGCTCAAGAGCTGCACTCAAAGTCCTTCAATATTGCCTGTGCACTTATTTTTTTCCAGTGTGACCACCTTTGCACTTTTTACACTCCTTCGACAGAATTGACGCACACAGACTGAATAGCAATTGCTGGGGCAATTATCCATACATTTTCCTTGTCCTCACTCAGTCTCAATACTCTGCGCTGTGCCGCTTCGTGTCGCCCACTCCAACGTCTTCGGCTATGGCCCTGTTTTTCTGAGCGTTCGCCGCCGCTGAAACAGAGCAAAACAATATTTGAGATTGCTCACATTTTGCAAGCTCATGGATGGGGAAATGAAGTTGATGGAAATGGAAAATATGTCACGTCTGGAGGAAAATTGTTTCAGTGTCGCCGGAAGTTTTGGATCTCCGTCCCACCATGACACACCCCGGCCTCGTGCCGGCGGGCATGAGGCGTGTGGGTGGCGAGAGAGCCCAGACAGAAGGATGGATGGGAATTGAAAGAGGCAAGAGATATTAAGAGAAAGAAAATAAAATAAGTAATTTGTAGAGATGCCGCCACACACGCACTTTTGTGTGAAAATTTACGTCAACAAGAGAGTGTTGGCAGGCAAAAAATGCCTAAACCCACTCCTAGCGCATTTGTGACACAATAAAATAAGACATGTGACACATTTATCACATTGTCCACCCCATTTTCCGTTGGCGAAAGCCCACCCACTCGGAACGATGGCTCCGACGCGTTGAAACGCACTTGCCGTAAGCTGTGCTCGTGCATACACACTGCGAGCTTTCTCGAGGGCCTCCCATTAATTTGTCAAATGATTGCTTCGCACTTTCTTGCCATATAATGTCGAGGGCGCGCAATCTCTCGAGGGCACTCTTCAGCCCACGCTGCCTTAGGAAATACCCTCACGGCCTAAATGGGAAGCGCAACTGGAAAATCCCCGTGACGACGCCAGACAAGGAGGAAAAAAAAAACACATTCACAAATAATATAAACAGAAAAAATCAGGAGCCTTCCACTTCACAAATTTAATTTGCTCTTCCGCCCCACGAGATATTCCTCCTATATGTCTGCCATTGGGGAATGTAATGGTACACAATGAAGTGCCCTTGGCTCGAGCCTGTCGATGGGGGTGTAAATTGAGGCTTTAAATTTACTTTTTGCCATCCTCCACATCAGCCTTCCGGGCTTGATGAAGAGCTTGCGAATCTCATGTTTCCCGCGCGCCGAAGACAGTGTTTTGTGATTTGATTAAACTCAACACTTGCCATTTTCACATAGATTCCCTTTCGCGTGAATTGTGCCAAACATTCCACCTAAAAGTCAAGCTTTTTTGTGCTCCTCGCTTCCGGCGAGAGATACCAAAATTGAACTCCTGAGCAGCATTTGATTGTGCAAACGAGAATGCGGAGGAGATGAAGAAATTCTTCGAAGGGAGTTTCGAGCTTCCCTCGTCTCATTAAATATGATCCAAAATTCTATTATGAGTTTTTATAATTAAGTACGCTGTCTTATCAAAATTTGGAAATCTCCTCCTCTTTCAGCTATCCTGA